GCTGGATCTTGTGTTTTTCCCAGATGTAGAATTCTTTGTCCAGTCCTGGGAAAGAGCTCAGTGATCCCATAGACAAGCCAGCACCTCATTGCATTTTCTCCGAGACTCACCCAGGGTTTTAGATGACGTCTGTGCAAGTATGCCTGACTGACAATCAGAAGGACTCGGGTCCCCTTTCCTGCAGTGGAACTCCACTACCTGCAAGGTCAGAATCCCCAGTTAGTGCCCCCCCCCCAAGTAGGGAGTAGCAGGTTGGTAGAGTTGTGCTCATCCCCCCTGAGAAGGGGGTAGCGGGTGGATAGAGCAGTGCACTTTTATCTTGTGATTGGAATTCTGCTGCCACTTCTTCGCCAGAAGCACAAGCGTGGGACCCCAATAATAAGAACATTGATAGTCATTGGTCATATTCCTGATGGATGGACCCCAATAATAAGAACATTGATAGTCATTGGTCATGTTCCTGATGGATGTTGGGAGAAGGCTGATTCCTCACTGGGTCTGCATGGAGAATGTAACTCGGGTCATCCTCAAATTTAAGCTGAGTACAGGCACCTGGGCATGGGCTGCCTGGACAAGGAAAAACTTGTGCAATTTTATTTCTTGAGCCATTCTAGTACTTAGTATTGTCTTATAACAGCAGAGAAAGTGATGCTGAGCTTCCCCTGGTTTGAGGTAGAGTGCACCTGAAATTCCAATTGATGCCACTCGGAGGGAGGGAGGGAGGGAGGGAGGGAGGAAGGACAAGTTCTATCTCTGAGTTTAAAAAAAAAAAAAAATTTTACATGCTGGTACCCCAGAGGGGCTTTAGCTGTTTGTCCAGAACACCGTGGCTCCTTGCTCTTCATTGGAGCTCTTAAAATGTCTACTGTGGGGGGAAGCCGAGGAGCGGGGTCTCCCATAGCTTCACCGCCTGGTTGATGACAGCTCTGACCTTCCAAATGCTCCATCCACACATCTTTTCCAGACCAGGCCCTGCACCCCACACACTTACTGTGTGCAGAACTCTGTGTTTGCATTGGAAGAGATAGTGGGCCCCGGATGGAAGAGCACTGGCTGTGGAGCTGGGGGGGGGGGGGCGATAGCAGGGCTGCGTACACTTGTAGGAGGCCCTGGGTCTGCTCTTGCTTTCAGCACTGCTGTGGCCAGTCACGCAGGAAACAGAATCATGGAAGGAGCGGTGTGGTAATGGAGGCTTCTGATTAATTCTTTTGAAAAACATTTTATTACATTTTGTGTGCGCATGTGTGCACTTGAATGTGCACCCCTGTTCCTGTGCTCCTCTTACCAGAGCACACAGGTGGAGGTCAGAGAGTAAGTTACTGCAGTCAGTTCTCTCCTGCTGTGTGTGTGCTGGGAACCAAACGGAGGTCATCATGCTTAGTGAACAAGTGCCTTTAACTGATGAGGCATCTCACCAGCCCCATTACGTTCTAAGTATTGAAGTTAATCTTCAGAAGATTTAAATTTTTACATGTAGGCTTTCAAAACTTACTGGTTCCTGAAGGAGGCTGAAGAGCCTTCCCAGCCATGTGCCTCTGGACTATGACTGCAAGACCTGGGAAACGCATGTGAGTTTGCATTAGTGCAGCGCCAGGTGCAGGACAGGCTGCTGCAGCCAACAGACAAAGAAGGCTATCCTGCTCAGTTGGGAGGCTGGAGGGGAAGGCTCCATAGGTCGTCTTAACTGCTTTCTGCCCGCCCCCCATCTCCAGTGGGCAGAGCCTCTTTGCTTCATTTCTGTATCCGCTTCTCCTCCAGCTCTGCACTCGGTGAACTACTGGGTACTGGAAATGTCTTAACTTTGGCCTTCAGATCATGTGAAGCCGGAGCAGAGCCAGGCCCATCACGTGGTGTGTGCTCTCTGAGCACAAAAGTTTGTGTGGCTTAATGTCACTTTGGGGCATACAAAGTGGCTCTTTAAAGCAAGCTAATATGCTGAGTGTTGGTGGCATCAGATACCTTAGAAACCAACGGAACTGTGAGTACCTGGGCCCGAGTCCATGCAGGGACAGACAAGGGGATAAGATGGCCCTGAGAAAGATGAGAGGAGGAACTGGGAGCTGTAGGGGACTGAGACACAGCTAAGTGTGCAGATCCCACTGCTCAGTCTAGCCTCTGCCCAGGACAAACGGGGTGGGACACTGTCTTTCCTCGTCTGTCCCAATGCAGATGGGACAAACGGGTTCCAGATTTTCCCATCGTCCACTCAGCTGCTTCCTATAGCACTGGGCATAAGTAGACTCTCAGACACTCAGGACAAAACCTTCTGATTCTCTTTTGTCAGATTTAGAATCAGTTTATTCTGGGATGTTTCCCTCACATGAGATGGTGGGAGAATCCACACCCACCTTTGTTCAGAAGAACTGAGAGAAAAATAGTTTTTCGGGTTGTCTGCCTCCATTTGCAAACACCCAGAAATTGTGGGTACAAGCAGTTGCCCCTCAAGTCTAACTGGGAAGGGTCTCCGGTTAGACCACTGAGAAAGGCAGACCAACTTGATCCTCCCTGATCGTGGGTGCTCACTCTAGTGCCCAACGAGAGTTTTATAGTTTAAAGGCTCCAAAAGAAAACTTTTCTGTATCCGTCCATCCCTGTTCGTATAAGACGACCCAGTAGGTGATGAGACGCATCTGAGCCGGTCTCTCCTGGTTAGAAGGACAGGTAGTTTGGGCCCAGCCAGTTGTCAGTGGACTCAAGCCCTTAAGTTTATTGTAAACCACTCTGTGGGTTTTTATAAAGAGCAAATGATGCCTTGTGTGTGCATTCAATTCTCCTGTGCTCTTTGAGTCCCCTGAGAAGCTGGCTCTGCTGATGTCGTACCCAAGCATTTCCTGGGTCAGACTGGCCCTCTGGCTACTTCTCTTGCCACAGACTCAAACAGTAAAGGCATCATGACTTGTCTCTTGATGAAAATAAAGCAGCTAGTGAAAAACAACCCAAAACTTCTAAGTCCAGCGCCAGAGCTTTCTTTACTGCTGCTCAGTGTCATGTGCTGTGTGAAGACTGTGTGTTCTGTAACGTTTACCTGGGAACTCACCAAGCCCCTCAGTGTAGTGGTGTGGACACAGGTGATTTTAAGTTACGGCAAATGTAGTTTAGATTCAATTTTGTTTTATTAAGGTGCTATTACACAACACTATCTTTGAAGCCAAACAACTGCCGTGGCATCAGCCCAGCCAACGTGCAAAGATGCTCACAGGTAGGTTTGTTCATGTTATTAAATCTAATAAGAAAGCCGGGAAGCATAGACAAGTTACAGAAGGTGTGTAACAGGTCAGAGTTCAATATGCTTAAATCAGTGGGGTTAATTGATCTACTCTGTCACAATAACAAGGACTGGCTTAAAGAACAAAGTCATCAAAGTTTTAAGCCTTTGATTCCCCCGCCCCAACTTTATATCTACATATTACTCAAAAGTACCAGACTGACTGACATGACTTTCTAAGTGTTCAGGAACCATACCTGGAGACTAAAATGGTCGGAGGGATTAATAAAAGGGAGGATATTTCCGCCTTTCTCAAGGTCAGCTAGGTCCCAAGGGACCTCTGAGTTATAACTGTAGGGGATCTAACCTGTTCTCTTATTCAGGGAGGCTTTGGAGAAGCCATCCAGTCAGTCCTAACTGTGGTCAGTCTACATAGAGGCCTGTAAGCCGAGGGAAATTTCCTCCATGCTTCCATAGATAAAGCCATGGGAGCAGGGATTCCACCCTCATGTAGATGGAACAACTGTAAAAGAAAGGCCAGAGGAGCTAGAGGTTTGTCTCAAGCCCCGGTGGCCCCTGAGGAGCAGACCTCGAGTGACCTTCACAGGTAGAGAAGTGATTGCTTTTGCACACACAGCAGGCCCACATCACCAAAGATTACAATGATTGCTGTGTTTCCTTCTTAGACACTAGGGCTTAGTCCTCAGGAGGTGTTGTTCAGACAGTATTTCTCACTAATGATCAGAAAAATGCTGCCCAGAAGTAGGACCTCATGGTCCAGGTTCAATTCAACACAGCAGTGCCTACCTGCAGCCATGAGAGACAGAAATTAAAGGAGATAAAGCTTAGCAAACTGGCTAGTTCTGTTTTCATTCCCAAAGGTATAAAACTTTTGGCAAGGCAGGAAAATGCATGTTAAGATGTGTGTAGTTGAGACAAGGGGTAGAAGTGTTTAATCCCGGTCTATGCTTTGACACTTAAGGGTGGCAAGTAACTAGGAGCTGCTGTGCCTCAAGTTTGGATGACAGTCAGTACCCTGGAAGAACAGTAGCCGTAGACTATTCGATTATGGGAGTAAATAGTGGCTTTTAAGCAAAATAAGTGTTTGTCCTTTATGAAGGTCCACAAGATATTGTCACATAAACTCGGAAAAATTTCCTAAGACTTTTAAGACTGAAGAAAAGGTTTTCTGATAGTGTTTTCCAGGAAGAGAAATTAATAATTTATGAAAAGTTGACTGACGATCTCACAGTTTTAGTTCTGTAACAAGCGAAGGTTTTCCAGCTGTCACAGCCTGGGTTGTGGGCATGAGCTGCTTGGCCCTTAGGAGCAGCTAGGAGAGCTGCATGCTGCTGAACCACACCTGTTCTGTGGGATCCTTTCCCACGTGATGTGTGTTTCAGTGTGGAGCTGTGACTGCTAGCATGGGTATTGCTTATGGGCTTTCAGTCTCCTCTTAGCAGACTTGCTTGGGTTTAACCAGTGGCATCTCATTGCTGATAACAAGTGTGTACCGTCTTGAAATGGCCCGGTGTCACCAGCCGAACCCAGAGAACTGCTTGCTTTATCATCCACAAAACCAGGAGGCAATGCAAGCATCTATCTACATGTTGATAGAATTCCTTATCTGAGACAATCAGAGAAGTAATAGTTCTTAGGTCCTCATAGGAAAAATTGAAAAATTAAAAAAATTTGCTTCTTTGTTGTTTTTCAGCTTTTATGATATGTTGTGATAACTGGAAAAAACAGGGTACAGCCCATGCACCCCAGGTTTCCTTGTTACAACTTCCATTCTTTACAGGTGGGTGTCGGTGAAGGTGGTGTGTTCCTTGGTTACCGAGCTGAAACCCTTGATGGCATTCATTAGTTCCTCTTCGTCCACATACTGAAAAGCAAACCAGTCATTGGTTACAGTACTTCCTGTCAGTAATGTTCACTCCTCACAGTCTCTCACTGTGATATAAAACATATTCAGGGAATTAAAAGCTGCCTACTATGTTCAAGACTGGTATGTGGATTCAGATTTAGACGTTCCTCTAAATTCCCTTCCCTGAAGGAATCACACACACACACACGTGAGCTGCCAGCTAGCTCAGCACACAGCTAGAGATCACACTGTACAAGATCTTAGCCTCTGTGAGCCTCGGTTAACTATAGAGTAGGGAAATTTAGAATCAGTGTATATGTAGTTTTTTATTTAAAAAACTTCATTCAAAAAGAGTAAAAGCCAGGACACAAGCTATTATGCCCTGTTGCTCCCTGCTCTGTGTGCTGCATTTATCAACAGGGTTAATGTTATGATTTCATACAAGCAGTAGCTTGCCAGGGGTTGGCACCATTACAGGGTCCACTGCCTCCTGCACACTGCCCTTTACTAGGACTGGCACACCAAGCAAGCCAAGCTCACGTGGCCATTATTTTCAGTGGTCTCAGTTAAAGTCTATGATCACAGTCCCACAAAAAGACAGCTCCTGTGTCCTTGGTTTGGTCCCACTCACCTCTGACCTTACACTCCTTCTGTAACTGTGGTAACAGCCCTTCCTAGACTGTGTGAGGATTATGTGAAATGTTCCATTTGTGTCTTCATTGTTGCATTAAGTACATTTATATGTTTTAACAAAAAAATCCATTTAACAATCACCCCAGCCATTTAAAACCTACAACATAATTGGGCAGGTGCTATAGGGAGTGCTCAAGGGCCGTGGCATGTGGATAGGAAGCAACTCACCAGTCCACTGCTGTGGCCCATAATAGTTTCCCAGAGCGAGTCATCCGCCAAGCCTTTCTTGTCTGGAATGTCCATGAGCTGGCTGACGCTGCGGTGGAGAGAACCCTGGGTGTAGGCCTGGCTGATTTGGCTTTGACTTGGGATCCTCAGTATGGACACACTTCGGCTGCTCCGAATGCTCAAAGGCGTCCCAGACCGAGGGATTCTGGTGTCAGCCAATCCCTGGAAAGGAAAGCAGCTGTTAGAGATGGGCGGATAACAGAATACTTGAACTTGGGAGCTGTGAGCCCCTGGACTGCTGTGCCTAGCAGTGAACCCAGGGGGCGGGACTGGATTAAGGTACTCTCTAACTATACACTGACATAGAGCCTACCTGTCTCTTCAACTTCTCTTCCCTCTCGTCGAAAGTGAATCTATGTTGTTCATGGTTGCCCAATAGATATTTCATTTTCAGAGTTCTGCACCGGTATAGGAAGTGATCCCTCCTCCTCCTCTCCCCCATATTTACCTTCTTGTAGGAATCTAGAGTCCATAAGTCATCAGCTCTGTCATTACCACCAGCAAGGCAAAAATCTCGCTAATTATAAGATGTGATCTTAGGGTAAATCCTAGCTGACGGAAACAGCCAGTTTCTGATTTAATGTCCCATCAGTGAAATATTTCTGCTTCTCCATGGACAGTCAACACAGCATGCAAAAATCACATGGCATCCGAGCAGCACACAGAGGTACCTCAAAGTGCATGGTGTAACTTTTTAGGGTGACATTGCTGGTCACATCAGATATATCAGCCACAGAGTCAAACTGAGAATAAAAAACAAATGGGTGCATCAATCTTTGTTTAATGCTGTTTCAGGGGTTTAGAGCCAAGATGGCCAAGAAGTACCCTTCACACAGGTCTACCACAGAGAAGAGTTTGAGTCACTAGTGGGAAACTTTAAAGGAGAGAGGATGAATTCTGCAAAGCAAAGTGGTGAGAACCCCAAAGAGCAAGAACAACCAGTTGAAGGTGCCCTAGAGGCTGGAGAGTTGCAGTGTGTGACATTGTCACCAGGGTCCTGGCGTCATGTGAGCAAGTGCCAGTAATGTAGACCATCGCAGCAAACAGCAACCCAAGAGAGACATCCATGATACTTACAGCTCCCCAGCTAGCATTGACAGACCCCCTTCGCTAGCATGGGCAAGGCCTTGCGCTCAGTCTTGGCACAAATTTAAAAAGAGAAACGATTCCTATGAACCAAGGAAGGTACTCTGAGTTGCCCTCCCCAGAACTCAAGCAACAATAACAGCCCCTTCTTGATGACATCTTGGCAGTCAAATAATAGACTCCACACAAAGCGTTGGGCCATTGTGTACCTGCACCTTCCTGGAAGGAAGATTGCTCTCTTAGGATCCTGCAGTATAAAGTCTAGTACCCACTGTGGCAATGAGCTCATGAATTGGGAAGGACCTTTCTACACCACAGTTGGACTGTACTGACTGCTGGAAATGCCTGGTCTCATCCACGCTCACACAGCTAGAGCTGATAAGGTTCCGGAAAAGCCGGCAGGTCGCTCTAGGGACACACCTATCTTTCACCGCCTGTGAGCTAGGGGAGTTCCCGTCTCAGCCAGCAACTTCGGAATAGCAAGGACATGCTAGTTGCATCTGTGCCTTTGGGTGCTAAGCCCCTTGACTACAGAAACATAGTAGCCAGTGGCTCTAACCAGTCAGCACCTGTACTTCATAACAGAATCTATAGACGTTCTCCCTCCTAGTTGGGAATTTTAAGACTGTAGCTATGGGGAGAAAAGGGCTCCCTGGGGATCAGGGCAAGAGTCCGTGTACATCAAATCCTGAACAGTGTTACCCTCACAACAGCTCTCCCTACAGAAACATCTCCTTCCAGTCTCTGAAGCTCCAGGACTTCTAGAGACCAAATTCACAAGCCTCAGAACTGCCCGTATTGGCTTGTGAAACCAGTTTGGCAGAACACATGCCTAAATGAAAATGTTATATACACAGATGAATAGCACAAAGCAATGATGGGACAATGCAGGAGGGAAGCAAGGAATCCACTAAGAGCTAGGAACCATTCAAAGAACCAATCAGGAGTCTCTCATGAATGAAATGAAAAATTATAATTGAACTTCCCACACTAGCAGATGTTAAGATGAAAGTGAACCAAGAATGATGAAACTACCAAGACCTCTAGTGATCTAACACTTGCATTTTGAGACTTAGAGAAAGTGAAGAAAGGGAGAAAGGTGCTGAAAAAAAAACTATTTTATAAAATAATGCCTGACAATTTCCCAGGTGCTGGTGGCGGTTGGGGGTGGAGGGGTCTGTGAAATACTGACTTTCTGGGTAGGACGTAGCTGTTGGCAGTCAAAATTCTAGAATGCATCACTACTATCAGAAGAGTTATAGGCAGTTGGTGGCTGCTGAGAGAGTGAAACATACTCTTATTTGGGGATGTGGCCACTGTAGGTCCATGCCCCACTGGATAGGCCCACACATCCGTGCATATGTGGGCATCACTAGTTGTATTGGGGTTTGTGTTAATAGCAAATTAAAAAGGAAAGCATGAAGTTTCGAAGAAGATTTGGGGAGTGGGGATTAGAGAGATAATGGTGAATGGATATGATCAATATATTGTATAAATACATAAAAACAATATCTTTTAAAAATCCTCAGAGATAGGGATATTCAGATTTATGTCCTAGTCTGAAAGACATCCCAAAGTAGCTTCATCCAGAATAGACCTTAAGGACATATATTGTGTAGTTGACCAAGAATTCTCAAAACATTAAGGGGCTACTCAGATCTATAGCAGGATTTTCACAGAAAACTTACAGCTAGAAGAGAATGATATTACATTTTTAAATTACATTTTTAAAATACAGTTGAGGAAACTAAGTAAAGTCTTTCCCAGATAAGAAGGAACTTAGGGAATTCCAACACTAGGAAATCCTAACTAGAAACGAAGGGATGGTAACTGCTGTCATGAAAATAAGACTCATTGAAATAGCATCCCAAAGATTTAAACTTAGATGCTGCCAAACAAATAAACAAAATAGTTATTAAAATGACAGGAGTAAGTTACTTTATCAATAACATCCTTGCCCATAAATGGATTAAATTCACCAATCAAAAAATATAGATTGGCAGAATTAAGAATTAATTGAAAGTCAGATATAGTGGTATATAATATAAATATATAAGTAAATGGTATCCAGAAGCAGGAGGATTATGAGTTGCAAACTATCTTTGGCATTCCTAGTTATTAAAAAAACAAGAACAAGCCACAAAAATCCTAGAACCCAACTGTATGCTGCCTATAAGAAACTCAATTGCTTTACTATAAAGATCTAACAAGTATACCAAAAATAAAAGTTTGGGAAAAGATATGTCACACAAAATGGGAACCAAAAATGATCTGAGCTTCCTAGTTCAGAGTTGTAATCCCTGGTAGTTGGGGGACTGAAGCAGGTGGATCACAAATTCAAGGCCACCCTGGGCAGACAAAGGAAATCTTAGGAAATCTTATCTTAACCCCCCCCCCAAAAGGGGGTGGGGGAGGACAGATGTGGCCCAGTGGCATAATGTTTTCCTGGTATGTTCAAGGTCTTAGGTTCAGGAAAAGCTGCGTTCATTTCAGATAAAAACAGATACTAAAATCTTTACAAAGAGGCAATTATAGTGAGAAAGGAATCTGTTCAAGGAGATGGCAGAAAAATGTAAATATATGTAAATGTCCTAGTCTGAATGAGAATGGTCCCCAGTTGGTGGAATTGTTTGGAAAGGATTAGGAGGTGTGGCCTTGGTGGAAGAGGTATATCACTTAGGGGGTAGGTTTTGAGGTTTCAAAGCGGGTAGCCATTTCCATTTACTTCCCCACACCATGGTTTTCTCAGCTTGTAAACTCTCCTTTGCTGCTCCAGTGCCATGCATGCCTGCTACTATGTTTCCTGCCATGATGATCATGAACTCTCCAAAACTGTTAAGCAAGCCCCCAGTTAAATCCTTTCTAAGTTTCCCTGGTCATGGTGCTTCTCCACAGCAATAGAAAAGTAACTAAGACAATGCCCAACATGAGACTTTCCAATACAAAGTAAAATTAGCTCTAACGTGAAAGACAGATTAATTCAGTAGGAACTGGACATTTCAACACTCAAACTTCCCCATTGGGCACATCATGCAAATGCAAAATCATCAAAGAAACAGCTGCATTGAACCATACTTTAAAACAAACACTCCTAACAGTTACCGGACATTTCATCCAGCAGCAGCACACAGATTCCCCTCATCAGGATCTTGAGGATAGAGCAGTTAAATCTCAACAAAGCACAGTTCTACTCAGACTGTAGATTAAAACTGCAATCTAAGAATACCAGGGGCAATAGAAACCAGCAACTGGTGTGGAAGCCACAGGATTCTTTCATTTGGGACTGGGAAGATGACTTCACTATAAGGATTGTTCATGGCCCTTAAGGGCCCGAGCTTTGTTCCCAGCTATTACTACAGCTCCAGGGGAATCTAACCCCTGGCCTCTGCAGCCACCTGCACTCACTTACACACAAACACACAAGCATATCTCTAAAAAACATTAAATCTCTCCTCTAAAATATCTTGGATCTGATGATGGCTTTACTGAAAGCATTCAAAGGATAGCTACTTCTCATACTTTGAAAACTATCCCAGAAATTCAAATTGACCAAACTCTTTCAAACTCTTTATGAGGCTAACATTACCTGGGTCCTGAAACCAATACAATAGAGCATACAGTGCTATTGCACACAAAAATAGCTGTAGACTCATATTTCCAATGGACAAAGAAGCAAACATTCTCATTACATATTAGTGATCAAAGTACAAGTTGATGCTTACATACCATAAGACCTGAACCAATATTCCAGCCTGCATGCAAACTGCATAAGATACCAATCTTTAACTCCTTTTAGAAGTCAGCCGGGCGTTGGTGGCACACACCTTTAATCCCAGCACTCAGGAGGCAGAGGCAGATGGATCTCTGTGAGTTCAAGGCCAGCCTGGTCTTCAGAGTGAGTACCAGGATAGGCTCTAAAACTATAGTGAAACCCAGTCTTGAAAAAACTAAGAAAGAAACAAAGAGAGAGAGGGGAAGGGAAGGAAAGGAAAGGAAAGGAAAAAGAACATATTATTAGAAATTGCCTTATAAAATAACATTTCTTTTTTCACATCAAAAAGAACATATACCATGATCAGCTTGAGCTGGTCCCAGGCATGCAAGAATGGTTCAACATGTACAAATGAAAAAAAGTGATATACTGCATCAACAGAAGAAAGAGCAGAAAACCATAAGGTTCATTTTGCAGAAAAGGCATTTGATAAAATTCATGTAAAATTACCAAATAATTGCACACATAATCATACCTCCATAGACTAAAGAGCATTTATAATAAAGGCTATCACATACTCGGGCAAAAGGTAAAAGCTTTCTTTTGGAAAAAGACAATGCTGCCCATCCTTACCACTGTTAACACAGTACTGAAGGGAAGTCATGGCAAGAGCTACTAAACGAAAGGTTAAAGGGTATCTAAATGGGAAAGGACAAGGTTAATTTATCCATGTTTGCATAAATACTTCACCAGAAAGCATTAGAATGATAAGAGAATTTATAAAAGCGAAAAGCAGGTCACACCAGGAAAAAGCTTTCTTTCCCTACATACCACATGGGTTTCCCCTGGTGGGTAGACACTCAGTGGAGTCATTCGTTTCTGAAGAGGCACTAAGGGAGGTCTCTCTCTGATGCATGGCTCCCTGTGGATTTTTCTTTGTAGAATCAGGGACAGGAAAATAGCCAGCAAGATCAGTCCCAGCAAGGCAATCACCACAAAGAACCACAGCTCACTGTAGAACTCTGTGCTCTTGGTCCCTGCTCCCTTCTTTTCTCCAGGAGTTGTCAGCACTAGGTAGGCCTGAAAAACATGGGACAAGAAAAAGATTCTTTCTGTAAGTGGTCTCATGGCTCACGATGCTGCTATTGGAGAGTGAAATGAGTCTCCTGTGCTTGTTTCTAACTATACATGAGCTAGAGCTGGTTTGCAGTGCCACAAGGATAGCACTGCAGATCACTAATACGTTACAGGGATGCAGCAGACAGTCACAGCACTGCAGGTCACCATTGCCTTACAGGGATGCAGTCACAGCGCTGCAGGTCACCATTGCCTTACAGGGATGCAGCCAGCAGTCACAGCACTGCAGGTCACCATTGCCTTACAGGGATGCAGCCAGCAGTCACAGCACTGCAGGTCACCATCGCCTTACAGGGATGCAGCCAGCAGTCACAGCCATGCAGCCTGCAGTCACAGCGCTGCAGGTCACCATCGCCTTACAGCCATGCAGCCTGCAGTCACAGCGCTGCAGGTCACCAATATGTTACAGGGATGCAGCCAGCAGTCACAGCACTGCAGGTCACCATTGCCTTACAGGGATGCAGCCAGCAGTCACAGCGCTGCAGGTCACCATTGCCTTACAGGGATGCAGCCAGCAGTCACAGCGATGCAGCCAGCAGTCACAGCACTGCAGGTCACCATTGCCTTACAGGGATGCAGCCAGCAGTCACAGCGCTGCAGGTCACCATCCCCTTACAGTCATGCAGTCACAGCGCTGCAGGTCACCATCGCCTTACAGCGATGCAGCCAGCAGTCACAGCGTTGCAGGTCACCATCGCCTTACAGCGATGCAGCCAGCAGTCACAGCGCTGCAGGTCACCATCGCCTTATAGTCATGCAGTCACAGCACTGCAGGTCACCATTGCCTTACAGGGATGCAGCCAGCAGTCACAGCGCTGCAGCTCACCATCGCCTTACAGCGATGCAGCCAGCAGTCACAGCGCTGCAGGTCACCATCGCCTTATAGTCATGCAGTCACAGCGCTGCAGGTCACCATTGCCTTACAGGGATGCAGCCAGCAGTCACAGCGATGCAGCCAGCAGTCACAGTGCTGCAGGTCACCATTGCCTTACAGCCATGCAGCCTGCAGTCACAGCGCTGCAGGTCACCATCGCCTTAAAGCCATGCAGCCTGCAGTCACAGCGCTGCAGGTCACCAATATGTTACAGGGATGCAGCCAGCAGTCACAGTGCTGCAGGTCACCATCGCCTTACAGGGATGCAGCCAGCAGTCACAGCACTGCAGGTCACCATCGCCTTACAGGGATGCAGCCAGCAGTCACAGCGCTGCAGGTCACCATTGCCTTACAGGGATGCAGCCAGCAGTCACAGCGATGCAGCCAGCAGTCACAGCACTGCAGGTCACCATCGCCTTACAGGGATGCAGCCAGCAGTCAGTGCTGCAGGTCACCATCACCTTACAGGGATGCAACCAGCAGTCACAGCCCTGCAGATCACCAATACATTACAGGGATGCAGTAAGCAGTCACAGCGCTGCAGGTCACCATCGCATTAGAAAGGTGCTTGGTAGTCATGAGACAGTAAACTGGATTTGGAGACATCAGATCTTCTCATTTGTGAATGTCAGCAGCCCATTCTAACAATTTCCCCGTGCCTTGTCACCTGCCCTATAATCACCCAAAGCTCTGTAAAATCGGCATCTCAAATGCACTGGGGGTGTGTCCTATGGAGAGAAGTAGCAGTAAGACCACTTCCTGGATCTGTTTGTGTGCCATCGTTGGTGTTATCGAATTAGCCCACAGCCAGTCAAAGCTCGCATTCAGGGAGGGTTCCAGTTGGGATCTGTGTGGAATGCTTGCTCTCTCGCTGGGACAGTGACAGGTAACTAGATCATCAAGGTTCTTGTGTCACCAGTGGGCAAATCCATTATTGAGTCTGTGGCTTAGCAGGCTGTTGAGAGGTGGGCCTGGTCGGAGGAAGTAAGTCGCTGCAGGCATGGCTTGAAGGGTGTACTTGGTCCAGACCCATTTGTCTCTGCTTTGTGGTTGCCATGAGGTATGAGACAAGCTTCTATGCTCCGTCACATGCTTCTCACCACAGTGTTTAGCCTCAGACTCGGGGACAAGAGGGCCATGTCACTGTGGATGGAAATCTCTGAAACAGGATTCCCAAATAGCCTTCCTTGACGTTGATTTTCTTGGGTCTTCTGCTGCACTGAAGGAAAGCTAAATAACACGAGGAGAAGTTAGGATTTCTGAATATGGAAATTAAGTAGTCGTAGGATTATCTGATCTTCTGTCTGGGGGACAGAAAGGGGCACACGGGAAAGGCGGCTATGGGGTCCCTACTGAAGAGTATAAGGCAGTGTAATCATGCCACCAGGCTGGATAACTGAGAGGGAGAGGATCTTAGATCAGCTACCCATCCCCTCACTGAGAACAGCTTCGAGGCTCACAAACTGTCAAACAGCCACCGTGGCTGGCCAGAATCTGAAAGCTGAAGCCCCGCCCTCTGAATGCCAATGCTATTAGCAGAGGATAAGCTGAGGGTGTGGAAATCTCTGCTCCTGGGACACCTCCCTGATTCCAGGAGATCAGGACCAGAGAGTAGGGAAGACATACCAGGGCCTTGTATAAGGGTGACGCAAACTAAGTTTGAACCCTAAGAGGTGGCTACACCTCTGTGAGCCCAACTCTACTGATCAGTGACATAGTTTGAAAAGTCACTGACGCTCCGGGCCTCTTCTCACATCTGAAATCAAAAGTTGAAGACAAAGCTCCAGCAGGTTAACAGCCTCTTCACAGCCAACCGGCGTGTGGTGTTGGGAAATGGAACTGTGGCTGTGTACAAGAAGGGTTAAGTTCCTGTGTGTGTGGCATGGGGCTGGGACCCCAGAGACTGATCCGATGGGCTATGTGTGCTCTTTGCTCAGGAGTACGTGCGGAATGAAGGGCAGGGTGCCCGAGGGGAACCTCAGAGGGGAAAGCTCACAGCAGTAGGAGACACAGTTCCTGCCTCTTCCCCTGCTCGGAGGCTGCCTCCAGGCAACGGAGCAGGAACTCTTTAGAAATTATATCACAAAAATTAAAACTGACTAGAGAAATCGGCTGAGCAGCACACCCCTGAGCCGGCACAGTCCACAGTTTCTCCCCCATGCTCTGCCAAAAGCTCGCCTCCAGACGAGAGAGCCACCCTCAGCCCAGGGTCCACAGTGGGAAATTCCATCTGTACTCACAAGCTGACTGGAAGTTCTGCCCTATGACAAAGGCTGAAACGGGATCGCCTGGCCTTCCCTCTTTCTTTCAGACTACACTTTTACTTTAGGGTTCCTGCGTTGCTCATCCAGTGCCAGAGGTGTAGTCAGGGGATGAGTTCTGGTGGGGGGAGCTGGATATAAAGAAACCTGGTCTTGATGTGCATGCGGTATGGACCAGTCAGCAGGTGCTGCTGGGTCCCAGTGTCACAGCCACCAGACAGGACATCTTTAAATGACACAATCCCCATGCCCTCCCTTCTGTGTGTGTCGGCAACCCTAGGATCTGTGTAATTAGCACACGGAGCCAAAGAAACACAGTTGAAGAAAATGTCTGGGGCCCAGAGTTGGTAGGAAAACCACATTTGGGCAAGTGAGCAACACAATGTTAGAACACTCCTGAGTAAATCCCTATGTCCTCCACTGTCCGACTGGGCAACTGGATTTTTTTTATCAAATGAAGCCTTTTCTGTCTCACAGCTCTGAATAAAATGAGATTAGCTATATTGCAGGGACCATGTTAAGTCTGAGATATATGGTATACCCAAATAAACATAGCATGGAAATGGGATACCTAGTGTGTGTGTGTGTGTGTGTGTGTGTGTGTGTGTGTGTGTGTGTTGGATGGAAACACGCAGACATCAGAGGACAGCCTTGTGTGTCAGTCCTTGTAGTTTGCTAGCTGTCCTGTGAGCTTCTGGGGACTCTCCTGTCCCCACTTCTCATTTGGCCTTGGAAGCACTGAGATTGCAAACTATGCTACCCTATGTGGCTGTACGTGGGTTCTGGGGACTCACACTTAGGCCCTCGTGAATGTGTGCTAAGTGCCTTCCTCACTGAGCCACCTCCTTGGCCCTTACGTCATCATACCTTGAGAAGGATGCAGACAGAAAGGTCCCCAGTTCACCGTTTTAGGCTCCGACTCCAGTACCTCATTTGCCCCTCAGGATGTGAATTGACCACCCACTGTCGCCCATCTTCTCATCTTCCCTAGAGCCCTTCTCTACTACCTTTCTGTATATGATATCATGAGAGTCTTCAGATAAAATATTTGTTCAGAAGAGAGGTTTAGTCCTGTCTCTCTGATGTTTGCCACACACTCGACAACTCACTGCCTTGGCTTTTGAAAATAATATGAACTCCCTGTCTAATAGGAGTTTCATCAGGATCTGTAAAGTGTTCTTCCTTCTTCTTTCTAATTTTAATGGCACCCTACAGTTTCTGCAAAAAGAGGCTACAGTGAACGTGTAGACGTCCGCCTGGCCCTGGAGGAAAGTGAGTAGCTGCTACACTGAACACAAGACAAGAGAAATGCTTACCACATCCAGTAGTGGCGTCGTACCGGAACAATGAAGTCCTAACACTTCCGATGTCTGTTGTGCAGGTGACCTGAAAGAAGAAAGCTAGACAAAAGAAAGAACCGGTCAATCTCTAGTGTGAGCACCAGCTAACAGGTGTCATTGGGAAAGAGCAATGAAAATGAGACTCCAGAGCAAACTGAGTGCTAATGTCACATGTGATGATCAGTTCTGATGGTGGGGGGTGGTTAGGATGGCATTAACTAATGTGGGAAGAAAGTGGGTGGTGCCATTTCCATTTCCTGGTTTTGGGTTCTGGCCCTTAGAAGGGTAGAGCAAGCTGCTGAGTATCATCCATGCATCCATTCATTCTCTCTGCTTTAGACTGCCCGAAATGTGAAATGTGACCAACCATTCATTTCATGCCCCTGCTGCCTTGACCTCCCCTCAGTGATGGACTGGAACCTGGACCCGTGAGCTGACACAAGCCTTCTCTCCCCTTAACTCCCTCTTGTTACAGTATCTTTGTTTTCATCACCGCAACAGAAGCGACTAGGATGCTGGTTTTGATGCCCCTGCTTCTGCAAAGGCGTACGACATCCCAGCAGTGACTGTTCCTAGAGCAAGGCTGCTGCAAAGGAGGGGCGCAGTGAAGAGGCTCGCCACATGCTCTTGCCATGTGCTCCTGCACCACAGACCCAAAGCTGTGCCAGCAGACAACAAGTGAGAGCCATCTACGAGCCGGAATAAAAACCTTCTCTTGGGCCTGTGTTAGAGCAATGACAAGCTAATACCTAATATGCATATTTCTAATTAAAAAGTCAATCAGCGGAAGAGCTGCATAATGGCAGCATATCCGTAAGGGTGGAGTGGGAGATCTGAGCTTCTACCTGGGCAGCAAAGCATCACCGAGTCAGAGGAGTCACAGCCCACAGATGAGCGGATCTTGCTCCGCAGTGGGTCTACACCTTTTCCTTGAAGGGCAGCTCAGAAGGAAACTTGGGAATCCACGATCCAAGTTCCTGTGTCAATTGCCAGGACCCTGTGCCTCTTTCAAGGTCACACAGATGGTCCGAGGCCTGCTCAGGTAGAACCCAGATCTGCCAACTGTCGGGCCATCTTCTTTCTATAGCAGGCTGCCCAGGTGGCCAAGAGCTGTGACGGGGTGTTGTGGCTCACTCAGGGGGGTGTTGTGGCTCACTCAGGGGGAAACTTGGTATCTTATCCGTCAGCTGAAACAGGTTTCTCAAGGACCCAAATGCTCCTGGGTTGATTTATATATAAATCCGATGTACCTTTCAAATGATTCTGTATCCACCAGCCGTGTGACCACACAGGTAACTTCAAAATCTGAAGCACCTTGTGGCGCCTTTCTTATTCCAACTGAAAAACTGAGACAAAGAAGTAATGCGACTGGAGACGGGGATGGAGTAGAATCCTAGAAGAAAAGGGGGTCCGTGCGAGGATTGATCCTATGAGGTTTGAGGAGCCCCTCACCCAGGGATCTGGGGATGGAGATGGTCCTTGTGTGCTCTGGTATCGTTTTTGTTACTTTGATAAACACTATGACAAAAGCAAACCGGAGAGGGAAGGGTTTATCGGGCTCTTACTTCCCGGTTACCCTCCATCGTTGGGGAGTGAGAGCACGGACTGAAGTAGAACTGTGGCAGAGTATCGTTTGCTGCCTTCTTCCCTCTGGCTTGCTGAGCAGTTGTTCAGTATGGCCTGTGCCCCTGTGCCTAGGAATGGCACCTCTACATGGCACTTGTTCCTACATCAGGAAAATCAAGCAATCAAGGAAATGCCCCACGGACATGCCCAAGCTTGGACGGGCCAAGCTGATGAAGGCAATCCTTACAATGAGGATCCCTCGTCCCAGATGAGTCTCAGGTGTTCCAAGTTGATGGTGAAAACTGACCAGCACACCGATGACGGTGTTGTTTGCAAGTGGGGGGATAGCAAGGAACCCCGTAAGTTTTCAGCGTGTTCACCGCGTTAGCTTATTGCGGTTTGTCTTGTGAAATGAACCTGCCCGCTGGGAGACAGCACTGCCCCTGGAAGTATCCAGTAACAAACAGGAAGGAGACACATATTTAATCTGACTGTAAGATTTCTACACCAGAGGCCACATAAACCAAGGAACTTTGATGCCAAATCTTTTCAGGTTGCCTTTCTGGTTTAACATCTCATAAATCTGGGAACACCTTACACAGAACGGAACGTGAGTTACTGACTTTTGAGTAACTGTCTTTGGTGTGTAAAGGGCGGTGTCCAGGTCACTGTACACCCATTGTCCTCTGTCAGTGACCATGTATTCCTATAGCTGGCCATTCGGGAGGGAAGTTGACACACACTGTGGATTCATCGCTGTCCACTGAAGACAGGGCTTGGTACTGAGGCTCTATGGGAAGCAAAGCACAGCTCGATGGATGGATGCACAGGGTGCTTTAAGAAGAGTGTAAACAACAATATATGGAATCAGCCACCCAACCAACCAAACAGAAACAACCCTGGGTGTTGCTAGAAACCCACTAAAAATAATAAACTGGTGTGGGAGGCAAGAAGACAGCCAATCAGAACACGTGTGAAATGCAGACTCAGCAGCTTTGGCTGCTTCCGATCAATGGAGACCACTATTTTATAAATAAAACTATTAACATACATGGGTTTGCTTAGCAACATAGCCCGGGGCTCATATTTTGCTGCATTTTCCCCTCTTTTAACGGATAAAATGTCCTTAATACTATTAACTATAGTGCATGGCTATTTTTCATATCAAATCAATATTTATTGCTATGAAGCCCCAAGGACTAGATGAAGTCAATTTTTTTTTTTTTTTTTTTTGCACCAAACCAAACTGCTTAGACGGTGAATTATGTCCTTTGGGCACCCATTCATTTTTAAAGGTTTTTCTTGAACTGTTAGTTTGTTTTCTAAGCTAGTTAAAAGACCTTGCAAACAGCAATCCGAGCATAATAATTTACTCTCTGACTAATCAATCAATAGTGGAGCACATTAGTATAGAATCAGGCTGGGCTCTCCTAAGTATGATGTCAGTTCTAGAAGCAAGTTGGTGTGCGTTTTACAGGGTGTTCTCTTAAAGAAATCTTGACTGCAGCTTGCCCTTAATGTAAACACATTGTTAAGGGAACAACTGGAGTCCCTAACATATCACCTTTCAGGGTGGAAGAGATCTCCTTCAAGAGACCTTGTTTTCTCCAAAATAATCAAGATATTTATAAGTCATTAAGATCTATGTATATTCTCAGTTAGCTGTTAAGAAAGGAAAGGTGTGAATATATTGACTACATTACTGAAGAGACATTATAGCAAAGTAAGGGATAATTACGTTTTGTAACATGGTTTAGATCCCAAAGACAGTGTTGCAGGATATATGTGTTTGAGTTAATTAAATAAAATCAACCTTAGGTAAGGAGGCGAATCCAGCAACTACTTGACAGAAAGTAACCATAGAGAGTCAGAGGGGGTTCAGAAAACAGACAGAGACACACATAGGCAGTAGGAGACAGGGACTTTGAGTGTGGCAGTGCTTTTGACTTTGGAATGATGGAAGACATTCTGAGATGCTGGCAAAGAGAGAAGATCAGCTAGTTGCTCCTCAACCTCTCTGAGCTAGCAGGTTTTCACACCCCAGCCTCTGACTCTTGAGTCTTTATTGGTAAATTGAACAATAGAGATTTAGTTCAAAACTTACATTTGGTGGCAGGGGCAGGAGGCAGATCCAGTGGCATGTAGAACTCTCACTGAGCTGCTGCCTGGCCTGAAAAGTGGGCAATTCCTGGCTGAAACAGCAGTAGATTCAGGTGCAGCCGCTGTGCTGGCAGAAAAACATATTGGTACCCCATGTGGGCTTGTCAATCAAATTAGCATTTCTAGGAATCAAACTCTCTGAACTTGACTATATTTACAGGACAATAAATGCTATAATTCTTAACATTTTTCATATTATTACATATTTACTGTTATCCATCCACCTAGGATTCTGTGCCCTATTGTAGCAGAACGACGGATCATCCACCCCCCATCCCCTCTCATCTGTGCCCTGAGTGCTGCCTTGCTATAACCTGGAACCCTCCATGATGGGAGCATCGACCACAGGAGTGGGCAAGCACATTTTTCTCATGGCAGGACTGGCTGTTCTACTGTTTCTACTGTTCTGCTCCCCACCGAAAGCAGCCTAGGCAGAGACTGGATATGTCCCCAAGCCCTTGAGTGAGCATGAATGTGCTCTCATACCCTCTACGACTGCCCACACTGCTTAAAGTCATGTTCTAGTTTGTGCTCTCCGATCCGTGTTTTCTTGCAGGGTACATAATGAGCTATATATAGCACACTGGTGTTTAGAGACCCACATTTTAGTCATTCCTTGCAAGTTTTCATATCTATGGATTCAGTACAGAATTGAGAGGACCTCTCTCCTTAGTGTTGGTCTAGTATTTAGATGTTTCTTCCCTGGGAAGGAAGGATAGCAAACAAAGTAGGAAGCAGGGGAAAATGGATGTTTTTGTTCACTTTGCTCTTTCAGTGCAAAAGCAGAATAGCAACCTTCAGGACTCAAAGAATTGGTTGTACCCTCCATCCCTCATCTGGATGCTCCTTGGCTTTCTGGCCAATACTGACAGGATAGCTGCCTCATGGGCACATCATAAAGGGGGCTGTAAATTTAGACAGCAGACACTGAGAGTTGCCACAGTATGCTCTGATTATCATATTGACAGCAGGAACCTAAATGTTGTCCATAGAAATGAGAAATGATATTTTGGAGGAGTCTAAGGTACCTTGCCAAGGACCGGAACAGAGAAAGTGTGGGTCAGAGAATGAATTAGGAATGGTTCAGGTAGGAAGTGACCCTTGCTAATCAGCCTTCATTTGGGACTGTAGTCTTTAAGTGAGTGAACCCTACTGAAGAGGGAAGAGGGACAAGGAAGGACTTAAGCAAAAGGAGGAAAGGGAAAGTAGTAGAAAGGCTTGGAGCCAGGTTTACAACCAAGACAAGAAAACCAACTGATAAGACTATCCCCAGGGGCAAGAGGCGACCTGGAGGTGCTTGTCATGAGAACTAGAATTACCCAGAACATTCCCGGATAGTCAATGAGGGAGCCAAGGTGGGGGGAGGGTGTTGAAACACAGGTCCTGTAGTCATCAATATGGAGGTCAAGGACAAACCGTGGGGAAGTAGAAGGGTCTGGGGAAGGGACAAATGGAGATGCTCATGTAAATTGATCTTTGGAAAAGGGTTGTGGTGCCAGGAGAGGGAACCAGGCTTATTAGCATCAGGAGAGAAGTGGCTTTCCAGCCAGGTGTACACGGAGGGGACCGGGTATGGTCTCAGGCTCAGGCTGAAGGTAGATAAGGTCAGATGCAGGCACACGTCTGCCTTGGGTGAAGTGGAGAGCATCTGACTTGTGATTCCTCCCAGCCTCTGCGAAGTTAGCAGTGGAGATCAGGTCTGGCTGTGGGTGTGTGCAGAGCAAGTGTGAAAGACCCTCCCATACTTGAAAGACCCCCGTGCCCACGTACTATGTTAAACTCTGCTGAAAATTTAGCTGCCCCCCCGCCAGCCGATGCTAAAACTGGTTATCTATGGGTTGCAGACTCACTGACTGGGCTAAGAAGAGGGAATACTCCACCCCCCCCCCCAAGACATTCTATCTAAACTGTCAACTCGCTGCAGGGTGCTCTATCTAGCTTTGTGGTTTTTCAGGACTGAGGAGAGGGAATACTCCACCCCCAAGACATTCTATCTAAACTGTCAACTGGCTGCAGGGTGTTTTATCTGTCTTTATGGTTTTTCGGGGAAATTCGAGAATAGACATGGGGCCATTCCCAGAATGAGCTAAGCCCACCAATTTGAGAGCCAATGAAATGCTTGTGCTATACTACCCTCTTATGTAATCATTTTTCCCTATAAATATGGCTGTTTGAATTTGCCCAGTGTGCTCAGTTGGCGTAAGCTGCTGGTGCACCCACAGGCTCCTATGTAATCAATAAAGACACCTCTTGCTGATTGCATCTGTTGGCCTGAATTATTGAGTCTGGGGGATTTCTCCCACCACCCTTGAAAACGAGGGTCTTTCAGATGGAGGCTTGCGTGAGTTAGGTAGGAGAGGAAGATGTTCAAGTGACCTGGGAACAGGAATGCTGAGGGGTGGTGGGCCGTTGAGCATAGTGGTGATGGCTTTCTATCATCCCACTCGCTACTCTTGGGGTCTGCCCTGTCACTCAGGTCAGCTCAAGGTCAAGGTCAACCTGCGGTCTAGGTCTAGGTCTAGCAGCTCACGTGAATGTCCCCTGGAATTCTAGAATACAATCCACAGACTTTGAAATTGCCAAAGGCTTTTAAGTGACAATGGTTTTAAATGACAGAAAGAATACAAACCAAATATTGTCAAGTATAAAAAGCCAAGTGTGAGCTCGCCTTTAATCCCAGCATGGGAGGCAGAGGCAGGCAGATCTCTGTGAGTTCGAGGCCAGCCTGGTCTACCAGAACTAATTCCAGGACAGGCTCCAGAGCCACAGAGAAACCCTGTCTCAAAAAAACAAAAACAAAAACAAACAAAAAAGCCAAGTGTGAAAATTTTAGTTATGCTATGATTTCAGATACAATAAAAACCATATAAGTAGAGAAGAATGGGGTGACCAACTCAACCATCGACAGCTGTTGTCTCTAAGTGGTGGGATTCCTGGTAGGACTGGCTTCCTGTTTATGTAACCCCTTGGGTACACGGGCCTCCCAAGGAGGAGTCCTGGGTTCAGCCTGATGTTGGGTTCTTGATTTATTGGAATTCTGAGTAAGTTTTGAACCAGGAACTCTGTATTTTCATTTCTTATTGCATCCCACAAATTATGTTTCTGCTTCTGGTAGTGATGTTATTCCCAATACCTTTCCTAACTTTCATGTGTGTGTGAGCATGTGTGAAGAGCAGCACAGTTGTTTGGGTGTGTGTACCTGCTGTTATGCCCAGATCAGAGTCCCCCCCAAAGCCAACTAGGAAACCAAGTCCTGTATGTAAAAGCACAGAGCCTTTCTTCTTAAATAAGTTTGCAAACTTGGATTCTCAGAGTTTGTTTTTTCTAGTAGCAAAAGTAGGGGTGAGGGATTTCTAAGGTTCTGTACCCCTGATTGGCTGACATTTGTCTAGGGGTGTCCTGGTGAAAAGCAATGGGGGTGTATTGGCAGGTGGTTCTATCTGCAATGGTTGGAATGTTAGGAATTTTCTTTGGATGGTCTGTTCCTGGGTGGTGCAAGCTTATGGCTTTTCCTGGAACCTGGTTCTGCTGGGTATGACAGCTGTGTGGCCTGAGCCCCACATGTGGCCAGGCAGCCCTAGGCCCCACATGGCCTGGGCCCCATTATGTGTGGCCAGGATGCCCTGGGACCCACAAATGCGTCTAGGGAAAGCAGAGGTTAACGGTGGTAGTGCTGGTAGGCTGTCTCAGGCTCTGTTCCCCTGTTTTTTGAGTCAAAAACTCTGACTGACTTGGAGCTCACCGAATAGGTATGACTGGCAGCAAACCTCAGAAACCTAGGTGCCTCCCCAGTGCTAGGACAAAGAGTGTGTCACTCCATCTAGGGTTTTTCCATGTGGGTTCTGGAGACCTGCCTGAGGTTCTCAGGCTTTCTATGATTGAGCTATCTGCCCAGCCCTAATTTTCATTTAAGTATGTGCCTGTACGTGTGTGTGTATATATATTAGGAATGGAAGTTATTTTATAGAAATCTAATTAATTGGCTAACAGTTCATTGCATGTCCATCTTATGATCTTCTTGACATGCCATATCTCACTGCTTTGGGGAAGTGCATGGATAAAGGGAGGGGAAGCATCTCTGAGCAGTGGGCTTAGCCAGGCATGGTGGAACACCTGTAATCCCAGGGTTTGGGAGATGGAGACAGGAAAATTGCTGCAGGCTTGAGGCCAGCCTGGTCTACATAGTAAGTTCCAGACCAGCCTGGACTGCCGACTTGCCCTGGTTTTTCTCTGGTTGTCACCTACACGGTGTCTCAGTGGCAGCCCATGCCACCGAACACAGGCCTTACAGTCCCACTGACATCCCCGTTCTCACGCGGGATCTCCTGTGCCAGGTCCCGGCCATAGTACTCACTTCCTTTCCTGGTGGTGAAGCTGGTCCCTGTGGGACCCGCGGAAGTCATGCTTCCCGCCTCACTATGGACCACACTTGCGCCCTGGAGGCTGCCACTCTATCAGGTCGGCTCTATGTCCAGGGCCCCGATACTTCATCTCTGTGTGGCTGGGAGGGCAGGGTGGGGCCGAGTCAGGAGGACAGGGCTGGCACAGCTGCAGGTCATAGCTGGAGCAGTCAGGGTCTGGAGAAAGGAGACAGGCCATGAATCTGATTATCCGCCACTTTTCAGAAGTTGATTATATTTTGAGGAGAAGACACTTTTGCAATCTCGTTGAAAATTCCATTTTCAGGAGATGTGGCTTTCAGGAACCCTGCACTGCTACCACAGGGAATGAGAAGTGAAACACTGGAGAAAAGGAGTGGAGTTACACCAGATGCATGCAGTGCCTGCAGAGGCCAGAAGAGGGCGTAAGAACCACTGACAAGGAGTGTAAACCGCCGTGTGGGTATTAGGAATTGAACCCAGGTCGACAAAGAGTAGCCAGTGCTCTTAACTGTCGAGCCGTCTCTCCAGCCCCATCTCCACCCCAATTTTTTGGGACAGCATCTCTCACCGGCCTGGAATTCCCAAGTAGGTTAGGCTGACTGTCCTAGGGCTCTACCTACCTCTGCCACCTTAGCACTGGGGTATCTAAGTGTGTGGCCACCACCCTGGGCTTTCTATGTGAGATTTGGGGATCAGACACAGGTTCCCATGCTTGCATGGCAAGCATTCTACCAATTGAGCCGTTTCTCCAGCCTCACGAGTAGTCATTTTCATTGATAAAGAGCAGATGTTTGGTTCTCTATAGAGTGATGGAGGTGGGTCTTGTATCTTATCTGTTGCTTTCATTGGTTAACTAATAAAGAAAACTGCTTGGCCTGATAGGACAGAAAATTAGGTAGGCGGAGTAGACAGAACAGAATGCTGGGAGAAAGAAGCCGAGTCAGGCAGTCGCCATGATTCTCCCACTCCAGACAGATGCAGGTTAAGATCTTCCCTGGTAAGCCACCTCATGGGCTACACAGAATATTAGAAATGGGTTAATCAAAGATGTGAGAATTAGCCAATAAGAGGCTAGAACTAATGGGTCAAGCAGTGTTTAAAAGAATACAGTTTCCATGTAGTTATTTCGGGTAAAGCTAGCTGTGTGGAGCTGGGCGGGAACGCAGCCCACTGCTCATATTACAACAACAGAGGATTAGAATATAGGAAATCCCCTTTCCTCCAGATTACTCTGAATGAAGACTTTTTGTTCTTCGAGACACTGACCTTCCTGACATTTTAACTTAGGTCAGGGCAATTCCCAGCTAAGCACAGAGTTCTCTTTTGCTCCAGATGAGGACTGCAGAGTGTATGGTCCAGAGAACCCTTGAGGGAGCATCTTCTTTAGTGACTGCAAACACAAAGCATTGTCCCTCTGGCTTCAGGATGCTTTTGTTGGTCACCTTTCTCTCAGCTGGTTTTATGGCTAACACGTTCAAGTAACATAACTGCTCAAATGAATTTTTTTCTGTATGCATCTATTTTGTAACCTTTGGGGGCCTGCTGGCTGGTTATGCACCTCTGTGGCAGGTCTCCTTTCCGTTTAGTTATCTCTTCCACTGACACCAGCAGGGAGCTGAGGGGGCGTCCACTGGAAGGACTGGTGTGTGCACCTGAGGTGGAGACAGCCCCAAGGGTGGGGCAGCGTGAGGCCTCAGCTTGCTGTTGGCCCTCTACTGCAGCCGCTGAAACCGGTGCAGGCCTCAACTGCAATGGTATATGTGGTGGAGGGTCTCAGGTCACAAAGGGTCTGCTGCATGGCTGTGCCTTCAGAGAGCTGCAGGAGCGAGGACCAAATGGGACAGTGTCATGAGTCAGAGATGGTGTGCCTCTTTCTCTGAATGGAAGCCTGTGTTAGGTACTTTGAGACAAGGAATAACCCTGCTCTGAATGGAACCCCACACTAGGTATTCTGGGAGAAGCCATTCCCTGCTCTGAATGGAACCCCACACTAGGCATTCTGGAAGAAGCAATAACAGGGTTTCTCTGTGTAACAGTTCTAGCTGTCCTAGAACTAGCTCTTATAGACCAGGCTGGCCTTGAACTCGCAGAGATCCATCTGCCTCTGCCTCCCCATTACTGAAATTAGAGGTGTGTGCCACCACTGCCCAGCTTTGTGCTAACTCTTCTAATGGCCAACCCCGATGGAGGGGAAGTTTAAAATATAGAGTTCAGGGGAAGTTAGATGCAACAGGAAAGAGGGGACAAGGTGGACTATCTCTTCCCTAACCTTAGGAATGTACTAGAAAATGGAACCAAATATACAAAAACTGGGTTGGATTCAATGACTTTCAAAAGGACTTCTTTATAACAAAATGAAATAAAAAAAATCATAATCTGTATTGAATTATATTTTTATCACTAAATTTTATATTCTACTGCAGTAACTTGTAAGGAACTTACATTTCTAGAATGTGCTGGAACCCATGTCAGAGGCGGGTATAGACATTTAATGTGTAAGCCTCCCTTCCTCTCAGGGCTGGTTTTGCAAAGCTATTTGTCTTTGTAAAACTACAAACTTCTGATTTATATAGAGCAAACTTTTGACCTCATTTGGAAAAGAAGCACTTAGAAGCTGGAGATTAATTTCCACATAGACATAAGGAAAATAATTAAGGAGCTAGCTGCTATTTTCTAAAATGCATACAATGCACTCCAAATAGAAATTATTTGGGTTTATTAATATTACCATTTTATAAGCATGGATAATCAAGGGCTGATTGTATTTACATCATCTATATTTATTGAATACGAAGCCCTGTAGAAAATATGCTAATATTCCCTTAGCCTGCACCAGGAGCCTTGCCTGCGTGTGGGCCTTCTTTGGAAATTGTGTTTCAACACTGGGTATGCTGGCCTCAGAGGATTTCTCCACACTTTTCCAAATCGTTCCCTAAATTGGTGTAAATAATTCATAATGTAATACTTGGATATTCACAATCTCCCTATAAGCTTATGTGAACCAAGTATTATAATCTCCACTTACTCACGAGCCACAAGGGAGAGACCGAAGCCATGCCACAGAGGTAAGAGACAAAGCGAGGACAGACTAGGTGGCTCTCAGTCTGTCCTTAAATAATGCAGGGATTGTCTTAGTGATGGCTTCCTAGTTGCAAGGATCATTAAATATTAGTCTTTTTGTCAAATACCAAAAACTTTTATGTCAAGGAATTAAAATATTTTTGTCTTCCTCACCTTGTAAAACCTTTGTGCATTTTTGTTTGTTTGTTTTTTGTTTTTTTGAGACAGGGTTTCTCTGTAGCCTTAGAGTCTGTCCTGGAACTCTCTCTGTAGACCAGGCTGGGCTTGAACTGACAGAGATCCACCTGCCTCTGCTTCCCAAATGCTGGGATTAAAGGCGTGAGCCACCACTGCCCAGCTTTGTGCAAATATTTTAATACCTCCACCCAGAAAAAACTTTCTTTTATTACCCAGCCCACCCTGTGAAGTTAAGTGATTTAAGCAGCACATCCTTCCTAGTTTCCCTTCTTTTCCTTTAAAACTAGCCAAACTCAAAAGTCTATGAGGTCAGACCGCAGCCAAGGGGGAGAAGATGAAGCCACCAACAGAATTAGAATAAATACTAAGTAAACTTCTGGGCTTGGGTCTTAGTGATCCCTGATGTAGGAGGGTCATCTGTCTATGTGTTTCTTTCATTGGCTTTTTAATAGGGCAGAAAATTAGGTGGGCAGAATAGACAGAACAGAATGCTGGGAAGAAGGGAAGTGAGGTCAGATGCCATGGAGCCAGCCACCACGTCAGACATGCTGAATCTTTCCTGTTAAGCCACTACCTTGTGGTGCTACACAGATTAATAGAAATGGGTTAATCAAGATGTGAGAGTTAGCCAATAAGAGGCTAGAAATAATGGGCCAGGCAGTGTTTAAAAGAATACAATTTGTGTGTTGTTATTTCCAGGGCTAAGCTAGCTGTGTGGAAGCCTCTGAAAAGCAGGCCTACTCACCTCATCACTACAGCTCCCTTTTTACAAAAGCAATCAATCACCTTGCCAAGTTACCTTTGCCTTGCTGGTGTGTTCCATTCTGCCACACTAATGTTGCCCTTTCTCTGTTTCTGGCATGGCCCTTAACAATAGGCACACTACAACCCACTATGGTAGCATCCCTCCGTGCTCTTTCCTATCTCCTGACTTTCCTCAAATGTGTTAGAGACAGCTGTGCCCAGTGGTCCTGCCTCTTCTGAGTAGGTAGTACTTTCTTGAATTCACCTTTACTGACAGAGACAGGAGTTTCTTTTTGTTAGAGATCTATGTGTGTGTCAAAATTGGGGTTCCTGTGTATGTCAAAATTGGGGTTCCTGTGTGAGTCAAAATTGGGGTTTGGGAACACTCCTCACTTCATCTTTTCTCTTTTAGCATTCACTCTGTCAACCTCATCAGGTATACATGCCGCCCGATTCTTCAAGTACCTGGCCTCTATTTTTCTAAATGTAAAGAATTCGCATATGTGTAAAGTCTTGGGTTTCTTATGTCTCTGGAATCTTCAGCACCACCCTGTTGGAAGGAGACATCAACACCCCTGGTACTTGTCTCAGCTTAGATGTTTCCTGTTTTCTAAAGACTTGGTCTCTCAGAAGGGCAAGGAGAGGTGACACATGGGAAACCATGGAGGAGGACAAAGAGCCAGATCACAAAGACAGTGGCTTTTAGGAAGAGCCCTGCTGAAGCTCAGCTCTTTGAGCTGTGTGCTCACCATGGTGTGAGTCCCCCTGCTGGAGCTGGAGAAGAGTCCATAGAGGTTGATATTCCCATTGGGTGTCTTACCCTTGGGTAAAGGAGAGGGTGTGGAATGTGGGCACTTTGAGACCTGTTGTGGGGGCAGGTCCAGTTCTACACCAAGTCCAGCTGCTTGGGACTTGGCCTGCAGAATCTACTGCCTATACCTTAAAAAAGAATCAGCAAGAACAATCAAAACCAAGATACCCTCACACTGGAAAAGGCTATCAGGCGTGGACTTAATGGTGCACACTTTAATCCTAGAACTCGGGAATCAGAAGCAGGTAGATCTCTGTGCGTTCAAGGCAGTCTGATCTACAGAGTGAGTTCCAGACCAGCCAGGGCTATGGTATCTCAATGAAAAGTTAAAAAAAAAAACAAAACAGCTAAAGACAAAAGAACAGGATGAATTTTGATCTTGCAAGCTTGTGATTACGAAGGATCACAGGACACAAGAAGGGAGCTCAGGTAGACTCACCACAGCTGGCTGACATGCTCCTCTCTGCCACTGTGGGGCAGCGCGGTGGTTTTTGTCAGTTCCTCGAGACTGGATGGATTCCTGGACTCCATAAACTCAGCAATTCTTAAACACCATCTCCATTAAATCTGCATGAAAATCCAATTTCCTTTCATCAAGGAAGGGACAAACATATGGGGAGATGTATAATCTTATTTATCAAGAACCATTTGTATAATTAAACACGAATATCCTAAAAGGTCGCCTCGGGTCGCCATTTGCATGAGGAAGTAATTTGTCGAACGTCAGGTACAATAGACCAGGTGGATGGATGTGCGAGCATATAGGGTTAAATTAGGCCCAATAACAGCCAACCACACAGTGATCAATCAGAATGATAGATGGAAATGTCAACACGAGAAGACTGTGTCTCCAAGTGCTATTCCTTACTAAGCTCTCAGGTAAAACTAACTTCGGGGAATTTTTCTTTATCATTGGTTGTCTTTTACTGTTTAATAATAATAATAATAACAATGATAATAATATTACCATGGGCCTTTAAAGACAAGTTTATGTGTGCACTCCAGGGGTGCAGTGTTGGGAGGCATGCAGATAGATAGTTTAAAGCAGGCTTATGTTGGGAAAGAGTTTCGTCTTGTTTTGTTCCTACATCAGTACACCTTCTAGAGAAGAAACGCCTTGGCAGACTTTTAACGGGGAGGCCAAGTCCGATCTGTGTTTGTGTTTCTGTCAGGGGCAGATGCTTTGTGAAAGGCAAGTTCTGAAGTTGAGCTGCTGTCAAATGTAAATCTCCAGCCCCTTGCTGATAGGGTTGCTGGCAGCTCCCTTTTCAAAAGAGAAAACTAACCTGCTTCCCAGCGAAGAGGCTCTTTAAAGACAGTGAGTGATCTCTCCTCATTTGCATAGAATCACTCACATTATTTTTATATATTCTTTTTTTTCAAAGCACTTTAAACTATTTTATGTTGTGTATGTGTGTGCACTGTGCATGGGTTTTTTTTCGGTGAGGGCTGGCATTGTACTCTTCCCAGTAAACAAGCTTTGGATTCTGTAGGTTGCCGCTATGTGTAAACAAGAGACCAAGGCTCTCAAAGTCTAGATTAGGTCAGGTCCCTGGATGTGCAAGGGTGGAATGTGAGTAAATTGTCTCAGCTGACCTGGTTCCCTGTGAGATGGGCTGGGAAGTGAGAGACAGGAGACTGTCCCTGGGATGGCAGGGCTCATGTCCAAGGCAGAGTACCACCCACGCGGCGCTTGTGCCCTCTGCAAAGGCCAAGGGCAGACTTACAGGGGTTGGATACTAGGTTATTGATGAAGAGATCAGATAGCATGCCCCAAGAGGGAGGATGCCTGGTTCAAGGAGCTGGAGACCAACCACTTTAAGGGCAACCTTCCAGGGATGGACCGGAGAAGACTTTCACAGCAGATGCGAGGCAAGCTTGGAAAAGACACTATTTAAGGGAAGATGTAAAATAAGAGTACAAAGGTCAGTATCAGATTCCCTGCCAGGAACAGGCTCTTGGCGACTTCCAGGCATGCTGATAGTAATCAGGGTCACAAGAAGGAAGCCTGTGGAGGGAGCTTTGATAGCAACAAATCTAGCAAATAACTACCGCGTGTCCACAGAGACAGCTGCCACACAGGTGGGAAGCTGAGGCACAGTACAGGGGCAGTCTAGCCCAGGGCGGAGAACATTCGGTTCTCTTCTTTTAATATTAATTTTTAAAGTTAAAACACAAGTGGGCTTCCTTATGGCGTTTGCATACACATATGCTATTTTTATTTGTTGTTTCTATCTGTGCTTTTCCACCCGCTGCCCTTCCCTGCCCTCTGGTCTTCTAGCTGGGCCACGACTCCCTCTACACAGTTCCCTCTCATTTCCATCTCACAGGTACTTCCGTCACCATCTCCTCTTCCTCCTGTTTCTACACATACACACATGTACACACACACACACAAAAGTCTGGATTCCACATATGAACATAACATGCACTATTTGTCCTTTTTGGGTCTGGCTCATTTTGCCTAACACAGTAATATTCAGCTACATCCATTTTCCTGCAGACATCGTAATTTCTTTCCTTTACAGTTTAATAAAATTTCAGTGTATGTAGACGAACTTTTCTTTGTCCATCTATCTCTATAGATAGATATCTAGGCTAATTCCATGTATAGGCTACTGGGAGCAGGACAGAAAGAAACATGGCTGTGAAAGTGTCTCTGTGGGTGTTGGCTTAGAGTCCTTCGGGTGTGTGACCAGAAGCGGCTCATCATTGTCCACGTAGATGCAGCATGGGATTGTGATGCTGCTCTTGGAGTTAGCCCTTTGATCAGGTGGAGTCTTATTTTCAAGATGTGATATAATCTAATAATTTTATTATGTTTAAATGTGCGTGTTCATCAGTGGGTAGCTATGTGCACATGACTGCAGCTTCCTGAGGGAGCCAGAAGAGAGCACCAGCTCTGCTGGAGCTGAAGTTAGACATAGTTGTGAGCTTCCCCATGAGGATGCTGGGAACAAACCCAGGTTATCTTTCCAGTCCTCAGTTAAATATAATGGTAAGTCCTCAGTGTATAGGTTTTAGTGTACTTTGGCATTTTATCTTCTAGAATATAGACAATATAAAATCCCTGTCTAGCAGGGAATCTACATAGGACCTAGTATTCTCTCTTCTCTTGACAAGAGACCTTCATCACACATTGCTCTTTCCCCCTAGACTTCCTTTTTAGTATTCAATCAATTTGAGATCACAATAGCAGCCATATGAATCAGCATGCTTATGCAAAGCAGGCTCAGCCTATACACATGAGCGGCAGTGAAAATGGAAATGGTCACAACGAGGGGAAAGCCGGAGACGAGACTGCAGCGGTGGCTGCAGCGGTGGTGGCTGCAGAGGTGGGTCTCACGGCAGGAAGGGCAGCCGTGTGTGCCATGCCACATACCACAAGAAAGAGACAGAGACTCCGTGATGGCAGCCTTGCTCACTCTCGGCACTCTGCCCCGCCCTCTTCCATGCCCACTCCCTGTGACAAAAAAAACGTCTTTCAAAAATTTATTATCGTTTTTACCTATGTCCAACTAAACAAGACATGGACTAGGGTATGTTCTTGTAGTAATAAGGGCTCATAATTAAAATATTACACAGATTATGCCTGTGATATCTTCTTAGAAACAATTACTGAATTTGGTAACATGCGACAGGGTGGCATTCTGGCTTGGAGTGTAAGTGTCCACCAGAAAGTCACATGTTGAAGGCTTGGCCCTTACAGGTGGCAGCTTTGGGAAGATCAACTCACTTAGGGTTTTGGAATTTAACAGAACATTGGAAAGTTTTGGAGGTGAGATCTAGTCAGAAGAAAGTGGTTGTTGGGGAGTATCATTGAATGGCATATTTTGTCCTGGTCCCTTGCTGCTCCCTCTCTCAGTTCTCGCTGCCATGAGGTGAGCAGCTTGCTGCACTGTGCCCCCTTCACCATGATGCTGTGCTTGCCACAGGCCCAGAAGTAATGGAACTCAGAAGCCACGGCCTGTGACCTCTGAAACTGCCAAAGTAAATATTCCCTCCTTGAGTGACCTCAAGCATTTGTTGCTGCAGTGGCAAGAAGCTGGCTAACATGGATGGAGAAAGATGGAGGAATTATGGGCAGGAAATGTTGAATAGTGTATTAGTGTGATTTTCTTTTCCTTTTGGTCCTAGGAGATGAATTTAGACCTCATGCGCACCAGGCAGGCATTTCGCTGCAGGACTGCCTCTCCAGCTCCCTGGCCTTTCAGTTTTCAAGGATCAATGTAATAACCAGAAAGCCGAGTACCTTCGGAGGGGACATGGAGTTACCTACTATAAATTCCATGACAGAGAGGGGATAAAAGGCGGTACACACAGAGCATCTTCTAAACACACTTCCCCAATAAACAAATAAATGATGGTTAAAGTTTCTTCTGAAAGACTCGTGATCTACACTCGGTATGTGCACACAAGTTAGAATAACACCACGGATTACACAGTCCAGAGCTTCTCAGTAGGGAACTGTTAAAAAGGTGGGCAAGTCAGGTTGGAGAAAGTTGATTGTTTTAAAAAATCGTTTCTGTGGTAACAATGGGAAGCGTTACAGTGTAAGATGCAGAAACTACAAATACTTTTAATGAATATAAAGTAATGGAAACGTTTAACCATGGATTCTATACTTGGCAGTGATCAGCACATCAATAATGCCAGCTTGATTTGCTACCTAGATACACATTGCTGTTTTCAGTGCAATATGTATTTAACTACTAATGGGTATCATCTTTTTGCTAACATCCATGGTGGCACACACCTTTCACCCCAGTGCTCAGAAGGCAGAGACAGGTGGATCTCTGCGAGTTCGAGGCTAGCCTGATCTACAAGAGCTAGTTCCAGGACAGGCTCCAAAGCTACAGAAAAATCCTATCTCAAAAAACCAAAAACCAACCAAACAAGCAAGCAAACAACAACAAAAACCAAAGCAAAAAACCATGAAGCTGTTCTTTAATTTACTCATTTCTCTCAAAGATTTAATTACTGTATCTTTCCTAAAATAATTTTAATTATTTTAAAATTAATTTAAAACACCTGACACTAAGCTGCCGTACCTGGACAGCTGTAGAAACAGGGAGCACTCTTTGGAACTAGAGATGGTCTTTGTGTGGAGTGTGTCAGGAGG